GAGGTGCTTTTTTTACGTGCGCTGACGTTAAGAACGTGATATTTTTTGCATTCACACCTCAGAAAAGCACTTCTGCACTTTGCAAGAAGAATACTGGAGCTCATGTGGATGCCACAGAGGTTCATGAACTGAAAAAAAGCGTAAAAAAAAAAAAAAAAAAGCGTAAAAAAGTTTAAAAAAAATAAACGTAAAAAATAAGCTTGTAGAGTTTGAGGTATTTTTAAGGGTTTTTTTTAAGGACCCTAAAGTATTTTTTTAAGAATTCTAAGGTGTTTTTTAAGGATTTTGCAAAAATCCGTTCAAAACGATGAGTGCAGCTTATCTCAGAAGATCGTCTAGAAGTCATTAGTCTGTCATCTTGCGAAATTTTTTTGGTAATTTTTATAGTTTTTAATGAAATTAAATCTTTTTTAGGAATATTTCAAACTGCGCGCTGCAATGATTGAGGAGCGGCGAAGCAAGGGTATCAATCCGTTCCCGCATAAATTCCACGTTTCAATTGCGCTGGCCAAATTCATCGCGCAGTATGATTACCTCGAAAAAGACGTCATCCTGGAAGATGTGGTCCACAGTGTCGCCGGTATATCTCTTTTTAAATTTTCGTGTAAATTATACTTTTTGGGCGATTTTATTCAATGTTTTTTTTATTTGAATAGTGAATTAGGTGCTTTTTGCTTTTGCAGGACGAATTTTCTCAAAGCGTGAAGCGGGCGGAAAACTGATTTTCTACGATCTTCATGGTGAAGGGACTCGCTTGCAAGTGCTTGCAAATGCTCGGTGATGTTTTCGTTTGAGTTTTTAAAAAATTTGTGTTATGAACTAGTTACTTGATCTTGTTCAGTGAGCTGTATTGGAGTGTTATTTATAAGCACTGCGACCGTCATACTGACGAGGTGCTGTCGCGAGGTGTTGAGCTAAGACGTATATGACTTAATGAACCGAAATGTCTTATCTCATTCTTATCTCCTTCTCTCATGTTGTAATCTATCGCCTTTTTGCCATATAGGCTTCCAAGGTCAACCTGGTTTTTACAATCTGTTTATAGTGCGCAGTAAATTAACACAGTGATTGAAGGAGTAGCAAGTTAAAAAAAAAATTAAAGACTTTTCATATTTTACTATCTTTTGGAGGTGTTATATGCCAACGGTAGCTAGCGGATTTTAGAAAAAGCTGTCGATGGCTTCCTCTTTCAAACATTGGAAAGCGAATTTTAAAAGCAATTTTGACTTTCTTGGACTTACGGAGAGGCTTGAACCATTTAAGTAACTGGAACTGATACTCCCAATAAAGCAATTCTGCTGCAAAATTAACCTATAAATTTTTTTATCCTTTTTTGGAGAAAAAAACATTATTTTGCTCCCATGAAACATGAGGTCACTGAGGATGGATTTCATACCATGTTGTAAAGATAGGCGGATCCAAAGGT